TTCCCTCTGGCTCTGCCCCTTCCTGACAGGTAATTTTAGCAAGTGGTCAGGGCCGATCTGCTCTGAAAGAAGCAAGGCCAGGCCATCCGCCCTGCTGCGTTTCCTGGAGGACTCTGGCGTAAGCTCGTGGAGTCAGGGCTCCGCCAGAAGGCATGTCTTGGCCTATCTACCAGCCTCCTCCTGGGTGGAATACCATTCCCAGATCTTTCAAACCCCAGTTACCTCCAAATGTCCCATCAAATGCCTGGTCACTGAGAAAGCCTCCAGGTTCACATGGCACAGGAGGGTCCTTGTTCCTGAGCTTCATGAGCTTCCATAACCTCTGTGCATACTTGATACCTAGCACCAGGGTCTGTCCTGAGCCAGAGCTCTTCTTTCAACTAGCCTATAATTATTATTAATACTTATAAATTAGCTGTAATATATATCTGTTTATACACTAAGGGATTTTCTAGGACAGATATTGAGATTGATCCACTTTGGTTATTCTCCAGTGCCTGTCCCAGGCCTGCAAGGCAGTAGGAGCTCAAGTAAAGAATAAGTCATTGACTCCCTGCTTTCAAAGGGAAGTCCCATGGGACAAAGGACTCAACAGTGTAAGGAAGGCATTCACAGCAAATAAAACACAACAAAAATATTGCTAATTAAAAGTAAATAAGAATAAAACTCTCTGCCAGTGATGGTATGGGAAAATAGGCATTTTTAACACTCCTAGTAAGGGCACACACAAATGGTACAACCCTTTCCAAAGCTGAAATGCCAATATCTACTAATACTGCCAGCAAAATCAGAAGTGTCAGTCATGCTAGGAGAACACCAAAGCAGTAAGGCACTCTGGGAAAATCTCTGGTCTGACAAAGGAGATGCAGGTTCCCATCAAGCCACCTAGACCAGCTGTGGAATCAATGGGCAAGTCCCTTTGTGTCTCAGAACTTCAGCTTCCTTTTCTACACATCAAGACAGTCAGGTAGGTGACCTGCAGGACACAGTTCAGCTGGTATTTCTATGTCAAAGAGCAGTAGGCATGTAAATGGAGTCAGAGCTCTTAAGAATCCGATGTTAATTTAGGGTTGACTCAGGTGAAGATAAAGGTTTCCTAGTTTCTAGCCTGTTCCTAAGAATCTTCATTCTGGAAAATCTTCTCAGATACTCTTCCCAAGAAACACTGATTGGAGCCTTGGACCTCTTTCCCATGGCTGCCCACCTACCCCATGGTTCAGAGGATAAAGAGATCTTGTCTCATCTACAGGTAAGCATCCAAGACCACCTGGCTCCATCCAGTGTCCAGATGCCTGAGGTCAGCACCTTCTACTCTTTCATTCTCTTCTGCATCCTGGGATGCTAGGGAGAGGACAAGACCCTGCTATGCTCTGCTGGGAAACCCTATCAAAAATTACCCAAGTGAAGGAGAATCACATATAATGTAACTAAAATTAACTAAGTCAATAGTTGCACAAAGTCCTTCCTAAGTGATGTTAATAAATGCATAGTAGCTAAAGATGTCTTCAGCATAGTCATGAGGCCTTTCACAGCAGGTGCAGTTTACAGAAGTCTTGTCACTGATGAAGTGCCATTAACAGGTTACAAATCATTACCGCCTGAGAGGGTGTAACAGGCACACGCACTGTGCAATCTCCCTTCTCCTATATGAGGCTCTCACATTCACCCTAGGCAGCCTCAGCCACAACAAGGTCAGACTTGGCGCCCTCTCCTTGACCCCAGCTGCTTTAGTTCACCAGTCATGAGAGCATCCCACTGGACGTGCCCTCATGCAGGAGACTCAGCTGGACCCCCAAGGGCCAGTAGACCCTCTCCTGGGTCCTCCTGAATCTGCATCCAGGAGAATACAGTTCCATGGGGTGTTATTAAGTGGTGTGTCACCTAAGCATGCACACACACAAACTAGTTCCCTGCTCAGACAGACTGACAAATACGTGTGTTCAATGCACAGCTTGAGAGCCTTTATGCTGTCAATACAACTGGGAATCTTCCAAAGGGGCCTATGACATGATAAATTCCTGAAACTTATTTATTTTCTGCAAAGCATCATATCCCAGGCTTACCGTTCGATAATCTATCTCTTGAGAATCCTCACTAAGCCCCTGACCCATGAGCTCTGTTCTAGAAACTGCACTGAACAACATGACTGCCCTTTCTCACTTAGCCTCCATGGCAATAACAGCAGACCTGCAGATTTTAAAAGCCTCAAAAGTTGATGCTAAGCAGGCAGTGCTTTTAAAACCATCAGATATTTGTTGGAAATAAGGCAAAGGGTTACCTATACTGTAGAGCCGAGCACAGAGCTTCATGGCAGTAGGGGTCACAGAACTCCTTCACAGAAGTTGTATGACTGACACCTTTAATCTTAGTAATGACCTCTCCGCTTCCAGCCCAGCTCCAAGCTGGTGATGCCCAGAGTATAAGGGACCTTTTGATAAATGTGCACAGTTTTGAAGATTTCAGAAAATGCAGGATGTCCCAGCTCTGTTCCCTCCTACCCCTACCCTTCCATCCTGCATTAGACCCCCTCACCAGGCTCTGCACACAATCTGCTCTCTTACCTCCATCCCTGCCCTAGCCCTCCAAGGACCAAGGCCAGCAAAACATGGGAATGCTGAAGAATAAAATCCACCCATCAATTCCCTACTGACTCCAAAGAAACAATTTCCCTAACTCATCTCAGGCTACATGAGATCATGGCTTCCAGAACTGAATCTGAAATTTAAGACAGAAGACGGCCTTTACACATTAGACAGAGGGCCAAAGATCTGAACTTCTGGGACCCTTTCCAAAGCTGAAATGCCAGTACCTACTAATACTGCCAGCAAAATCAGAAGTGTCAGTCATGCTAGGAGAACACCAAAGCAGTAAGGTACTCTGGGAAAATCTCTGGTCTGACAAAGGAGATGCAGGTTCCCATCAAGCCACCTAGACCAGCTGTGGAATCAATGGGCAAGTCCCTTTGTGTCTCAGAACTTCAGCTTCCTTTTCTACACAGCAAGACAGTCAGGTAGGTGACCTGCAGGACCCAGTTCAGCTAGTATTTCTATGCCAAAGAGCAGTAGGCATGTAAACCGTCTCTCTCCCAATGACTTCATATGAGTTGTGAGCATGCCAGTTCAGATAATTGTGTGCCTCAGTTTTCCCGAGTTGTGCAATCAGAAAGGCTATTGTTTTAGTTCTTTGTGTAAGAATGTATTGATGAATAACTTGGAAATTAAAAATGAATAAAAGAAGGGCAATATTAAACTATGTCATGCTGTAAAGTGGTCTAACCCTTAATAAATATGAACTCACAGGAAAGCACTTATTATCAAGCTGAGGTGTTAATAGCACCCAAAGACTACACTAGGATATCACCAAGGAAAAGCCATCCCTGAGACACAGAATTTTCCTTTCTTTTTCCAAGACAGGATTTGTCCTCACAGGCTGAGATATGCAGGGACTAAAAAGGACGTGCAGTGTGTCACTGATGAGGAAACACAGTTTACCCATGGCATTGAAGTTTTTACTCAAATAGTGGTCTCTTTATACCAGGTCACAGCCCCACCTGTTTTACCTTCCAGCCCTTCATTTCCCTGCCTGTAACATGGAAGGCTGCGCAGATAAGGGCTGACGCTTTCCCTTCTAACACATGAAGATCCTGTATCTAGACAGAAGTTATGTGAACAGATTTAAGGGCCATATCCATGCATGGCAATGTGCTCCATTACATGGAGCACAAAGGAGACAGGCAAGGCAGGCCTGGAGGGTGAGGGGAGAAGGACATCTATGCAATTTATTAAAATAAAGGAAACCTCAAGCCTCATCTTGTGATTTAAGAGGAAGTCAATCATGACCAGTTTGTGTTTAACTTTTCATCTTAGCCTTACTGGCTCTATTTTGCAAATAAACTATTGTTGATAGATGAAAATATGGTGTAGCAGTTTTCATAGAACTCCAAGAAAATGATGTACTTTGCTGGTTTCAATAAAATCACACTGCAACACAAATTACAGCCCCATACCAGAAAACCATGGGCTCAAACAACAGCAGGAAGGGCGAGCTCACAGAGCTGGAGGAGTGATCTGAGGTTTGTTCCCCACCTCATGGTTCCCCTGGTACAACGTTCAACAAATCACTCACTATTCCCTGGTCTCATTTGTTTTACACTAACTGAAATCTGGTAGCTCTGACAGCTAAGGAAAGTAGATATATTTAAAATAAAAAGTATATTACCTACTCTTGCATAATGTGAAATTAAATGAAAGTACCTTGAGCTAGGATTATTTCTTTCAGAACAAGTCACCCCTCTGTTTCCAACACCCCACCCTAAAGAGAAAAACACATATGCATCACAACCACACATGCATTATTTTCTAAAAACAGGTAACCTGGGCTCTGTTGAGGCTAATAAACAGAAATAGATTTTACTCCTGGCCAACAACTCAAACCATCCATTACGTAAAATTGAATATGTTTTTGGAATTAGTGTACAGGCAGACACGCCCTGTTTACTCCAAAATCTAAGACAATAAACAACAGCTTCTACATTGGCAGTCTCTGTACCAGAGAAGCCCTGGAAAATCTCCAGTGACCATTTATCTTCCACTGTCTTTTATTCCTAAATGCAAATAGTAGATAGCTATAAGTGAGCTTAAATGAAAAAAATCAGAAAATAAACAGTCTGAATTCTTTTGGATTCTAAAACTGGAGATAATTTTGAAAGGAACGAAAATGGGTTTTAAATGTCCTTAAGATCCAGAGGGAAATGCAGCATCAGCTTATTCTTGGGCAGTTAGCCAAGAATGCCATGCTAGCGATGCAACAGGAATACAACCAGAAGACACCCCCTACCGCCATGCCATGGACAGGGCATAGACATAAACATGGCCTGAGCATGAAATCAACATGGCCAATAATCACAGGAGCACACTGGTGTCAGAGGGAACACTTGCCTGCATCAATGTCCCATGCATGCCCACAAACACAAAGGAAGACACAGCTTGACTCTCTCTTACCTCCAACATAGGCCTGGCACTATCGTGGACAGACAGAATATGTGTCACCTTGTTCTTGCTCAATTGCTCTGCATCTCTGGCATCTGTCAAAGAAGAAAGAAGATGGACATTTTAATATTTGATGGAAGTGAATTACTCTTAAAGTTTGGCCAGGAAAAAACACAAAACAACTTGCATATTTCTTTCTTGAAACTTTGTAAATGACCATACCTAGAATTCTCTACACCTAGGAAATTTAGGGCTATTGCTTTTATGTATTTTGGAGAAAACTAATTTTATTCATGATTGGCACATCTTTTGATACAAAGTGGTCATCTAAAACTCAAACTGTATTACATTAATAAACACTGTAATCATGATTATTGCTGTATAAAAGAAGTGAGTTATGAGGTCACTTTGTTGTTGACATTTGTTAAGTTGTAGCCCCTTAGGTAAGTCTTGTATATGAAACATGTAACAATAAAGATGTTTAAAATATTTTAACAATTACTTTTTAATGATTAGTAACATAAGTTAAAATTAAATACAAAAGACCCACTTCTATATGAGATATATAGGATTATACAGGAACCTGCCAGAGATGACTTTATCCTGATGTTAAAAGCAGGGGTGGGTCCAGATGTAGAAAAAAGCATGATTTAGAACATGTACATTCACTTCAGGGCAAAAGTAAAAATGGAACATTTTCTGGAAATTCCAAACAGAATTGTCCCTATGTTATCAGTTGGCCATTAAATTTTCTGCATATGAAATTAAGGAGACACCAGAATTACATTCCCTTCCAATCCTCCTACCTTTCAGTAGAAAGACTGAATGAATCCCCCCAAGTTGGAACCCTTCTGCTCACATACAAAACATGGGTGCAGCAAGAAACAAGATGAGCAGCTACAAGGTAAAGTGGACCAAAAGTCAAATGTTTAATTATTGTGTTTCTGGAGAATATTAACAACATGGGAAAATGCTCAGGATATAATGTCAAGCAGAGAAGAGCAGGCACCAGACTATAAATCCAACTTAAACTCAAATTGTAAAAACTTGTAAAGACAAACATACACATTGGGGTGGAGGGGAACTGCTGTAAGGAATCAGCCCCACTAGTGATGACCTTGAAGGCATAGAATTACAAGTGTTTTTAATTTTTTTTCTTTAAAGTTTTCTGTATTAAACACAAGTGGTTCTTAAAGTATATATGTCTATGAACTCCTGGGAGGCTGGCTAAGAAGGCAGATTTCTGGGCTCCAACTTAGTTCTAAGGTCCATGGCAGGTCTGAGGAATCTGCATTTCTAATAAGCCTTGATGATTGTGTAGAAACTAAGAAACAATGCTGTAAACATTCTGCAGTAAGCGTGTGCTACTTTTAAAGCCAGAAAAAATTCCTTAAAAGTAATATTAAATGTTGGTTTTATTTTAAGACTTCATCGCTCCAACCATCTGGGAACTCGTTTCTACACACACACACACACACACACACACCCATCACAAGTTGACTCATCAGTGAGCTTTGAATTTGGCAGGACCTAGAATCATTTAGGATCCCACAGCAGCCAGCCTCCACATTCTTACCAACATGCAATTTCCCAGGCACCACCAGTATGTATGTTTCAGCCCACAGTGAAACAAGTCGGTACTGGAGCTTTTGGTATTCACAGGACAGCCCAGACAAGGTGGGACTGCCAATGGGGGGCAGAGGGAGAGGGGCTCTGTAAAGCAGGCACAGGGCACTCTCGTACAGGGCCGCCCAGATTCAGATCCTGACCAGGATTTAAATTTCAAAGATCAGTATTTGTTTAAATGTCTTTTCTTTCTTTTTTTAAACAGCTTCACTTAGATAATTCACATACCATAAAATTCACCCTTTTGAAGTACATAATTCCATGGTTTTTAATATACTCAGAGTTGTTTAAGCATCACCACTAGTTTTAGAACATTTCATCATCCCATAAATATACTTCAGTAATATAGATTATGATTTTTTAAAAAGTGGTTTGGGAATACAATTATACATTTTTTAACAAAAGATGATTCAATATCACAAATGAAACACCTGATGGATGGACCCCAAAGAACACGGCTGTGACCCCGGGACGACACAGTGGCTCCGAGCTCCTCTCTATCCTTCAAAGCACTGTCCCCACAGACAGGCCACAGCAGGATCACCCCCTTCCACAAGCATACTCCCTCCACCTCCCTGAGAGTGCAAAAGGGCTTAACTCTTGCTACTGGAGAATCAATGACCTGGGTCCTTTTATTCTGCAGGATGACACATTATTGATGGTTCTGGACAGCCGCCGACAACCTTGAGTGTCATGGTACCATGGGTGAATGCAGCTCTAAGATTTGGCCACAGGGTTATCAACTTGCTCATGTGCACAGGCACAAGTCTGGAAGTTTCATGCCAGCTCTCCCTGAGCACAAAATCAGAGGGGCAGAACACAGTCTTTGCTGCTCAAACCCGGGTCTACCAAGCAACAGCATGGCAGCCCTTGGGAACAGAATGGAAATGCAGATTCCCAGGTCCAGCAAACATCTACACAATCCGAACCTGCCCCTAAGTAAGAAGCACCGAGGTTGTGTGTACTGTGCCATGGAACCCTGGAGGGCCTGCAGGGAAGACCTTTGCCCTGCTGCCAATTGTGCCCCTCCCCCACTGCGGCATGTACCACTTCTAAGCCAGAAAACAACTCACAGCCATTTGTATTCACAAATGCAACAAGTCAGTATTAATGAAACCCATGGGAAGATTGCAGAGTGTGATTCATGAAAAAAAAATCTGGAAAGATAAATGCTGCCCATGGTTTTTCTGGGATGTGGTGTTTTGGGAAGTTTTCCCTTTAACACATTTCTGTCACCTTTGAATTTAACCAATTTTAATTTTATTTTAACTGATGACCCCACATTACTCTTATACTTGGAAAAAAACAAAATTTTAAAAATACTGTTCACAAAATCAATATAAATTGCATTAATAAGTAAAACAACCAATCCCAACCTAAGTATGTTCTTTTCCTCTCTCTCCTAGAAGATCCCCAGGAGCCTAGGCTCTTGTTCATCCTTGATGCCTGCCTCTGTTTATTCCCTCCTCCTCCCCGAGGCCTCACTTGGCCTCTGAAGGAGCAAACGTCACCTTCACACAGTAGCAGCACTTAAAGAGAAACACCTAACCTGTCCCTCACCTCCGCTGCTGCAGTGTTCTCTGCCCTGCTCAGAGGAAGACCCCAACCACCACTGGGAAGACCAGGAGGCAGCAGGCGGGTTCTTGGATGATACCATCCTCAAGGGCAAAGTGGCCGCCATCCTTAGGGCAGGAACTCAGCGTTCTATAGCTCATATTGGTACGAAAGACGAACAGGGGTAGCCAGTCCTGAGATGTGGGGGATGTCAGGGCGGCCATGGGAAATAAGCTAGTCCGGCAAAGTCAATCAAAAATGCCTCTGAATAAGATCATCGAAAGTATTTGGGAGGAAACACTAGAAATTAACACCGTCAAAAGCAGCACTCTACAAGAACAGACATTTGGCAGGAAGGACTTGTTTGGTAATGGCTGTCTAATACAAGGAGCCCCGGGGCACTGATGTGTCAACTCAAGAGCACAGCCGTGCAGGATAAGAGGGAGGAGGGACCCAGTTCCCTCTGCTCCAAACCTGAATCCCTGGCCATTTCTGAATCATTCTCCAAAGAACTTCTGCCTCCCAAGTTGGCAACCTACTGAGTGATAAGCAAGAGACTGCTGTCTGTTTTGTAGTTTATTTCCCACTGTGCAATTCACTTAGTGGCTTTAAGACTTTTAAATTATTATATATCATCATAACTTCTAGTTATAAATTAGCTGCTAGTAGGTTCAACCTTTAACTAGATACATTTCCAACCAGGGCTGAGAGCCACAATTGGGCAGTTCCTACCTGCTCTCTTCTTTGCCAAATCCTGGCTCTTACACTTGTTGGTGCTGACCTTGGGCAAGTTTTTCTAGACCTCACTTTTCTCAGCTATAAAGTGGGAAGATGGTAAGAGCACCACCTCAAAGGGATGCTGGAAATACTAAAGGATATAACTTGCTTAGCACAGCAGCTGACTGGCACGTAGTAAATGTTATCGTTGCCATCATCATCATTATCATGAGGACCACATTAAGCCCCATGGCTGCGGTATGAGCCTCATCCTCCGTCACCTCTGAATGTTCCCAAGTATATAATTTACTTCAAAGACAACTGAATCCCACCTGATGGTGGGATTCATCTCGCTCACCACCTGATGCTCACCCCTCCCTACCACCCACCCTCCTAAGCCAACAGCAGACCACCACACACAGGTGAGCTCCTCTGGGGTCCACCACTGGGAACCACAGCCATCCTCACAGGCAGACACAGAACACAAGCTGTGAGACAGCAAACGTGGGTCCACATGCATCACCAGCACACACACAGTGCCTGAGCTCATTTGCCACTGTTCTAGATTTCTATGGACGTCTTCAAACACTGAGGGCTCCCTGTCAGCTCGCATCCACTTCTGCAAGCCAGGCTATAAGGAAGCAGCTAATACCAGCCTCTGGGCCTGGGGAGGGGCTGCTCTTTGAGCTCCACTTCCACCTTCCCTCCAGCATCTGGGCAGAACCAGCTGCCAGCTACAGGCTCCTCAACAATGAGACTCTGATCAAAGGCCAGGCCCCAGAAGCTAGGGTGTTTGTTTGTGGGTTTTTGTCGAGGTGGAAAAATCACCAGGTGTTGTAAAACCGTTTGTGATTCATAGCTAAGTTACAAAGAAAAAAAAAAGGAAGCTGCAGAGTGACATGCAAAGGATCCTACCAGAAGTAGGGAAGGAGAGAAGGGAAGGCGGAAGGAGAGAAGGGAAGGCGGAAGGAGAGAAGGGAAGGGAGACAAGGGGAAGAGGGCGAGGGGAGGCACAGGGGAGGCAGACCATTCAGTGGGTAGCAGTGCCAGTCCACACTCTGAAAAACAAAGACCTCTCAGAAAGTCAGAATTTGTTTCCATCAATTTTTCTTTATACACCTGTGTATGGGCTGTTGTGTTACAGTACACATGCATTATTGTGATTCAAAAAGAGAAGAAAATGAGTACCTGTGATATC